GTAGCTAGGGCTGTCCTTCCCAATTATGACTTTCCGCTTTTCAATGTCTACTCCTCCATGCGTTTTAAAATAACCGATTAGAATGAGGGACGCCGTAATCGGAACTTCCTACAGAGCACCTTCCTTTTCCCGACGGAAAGACTCATTCTCCTCAAGATTAGACGCATCAATCTGTGATTTAGCCTCGGTCGAAGGATTGCCACTCATTCTCTGATAGGCTTCCTTTCTGTGATTCAGTCAGAAGGTTGGGATTTACCAGAGCACCAACAACGGCCTAAGCGCGGGTCGTTGATCGGACACGAGTAGATTAAGTTTCTACCTCAGAAATTCAGAATTCCAGAGCCTTGGCGCTTTGTTGACTAGAGTTCAAGTTTGTGATGTTGGTAGCTTTCAGACTCATTCACTGGTTCCTGCTCTTTCTATTGGAGTGAGGATCTGTTTCAGTTTCCAACTAGGGGTTCAGATTGTCGATATCATTCTAGTGTAGCCTTATCCGATGTGCTATATCATAATTTTTGTCTGAATATGATTTAAAAATTGGAACACCCACTTCTAGAATTATGAAGCAACACATCAGTCTACTGTCTAGTCATGGCCTAGTTTTTGATTTATTTCCTTGCAAAGAATTGGAATTTGATATTTTACCGTTTTGCACAGTTGTGATTTTGTCGACATAGCTAGAGCCTGCTACGCTTGTCTTTTTTCGTAAAGCAAGAGGACAGTTCTGAAATAACCATTTCGTTAAACGTAACTATTCGAAAGCGAAACAGAGTCTGTTGTCTCTAGCTGGTGTATTTCTCGCCGTCGCATTTTATAATGAAGCTTTAGTTTTCTCCACACAATAAGAAAAATGTAATGAATAATCGATTTATTGCCGGAAGTAGCATCTGCATCCAGCATGTATCCTTAAGCACCTAGGAAAGATGTACCATTTTGTAATGTCTACAGTTGCAGTTAAATGCTAAAATATGAAGTGAAGAAAGTAATCGCAATGTAACGGGCAATCAGGGGACTACAGCCGGAACTTAACAGAACGCCAGGCCAGCGGTCATTGTTTCGTTGAATAGCTTTTCAGCCACCATGGCATATGTGGCAAGTCGCAGATTGATGCCACAATTGTACTTATGGGCAGTGTCGATTATTTTCTAAAATCAAATGTTTAAATAGGCCATCACTTTCATGCGATAGCAGAGTGTTGTTACCTTGGCCGAAGATTCCATCGAATAGGTTAGACCAGAGTAGACAATGTCCTTTTCGGAAGCGCGCTGAAGATCACATGGTGTTGTAGACAAATTTAACTAACATGACGACTTACCTCTATGTGATTTTTCAGCGCCTCATTTGGCTTCACCTTAAACTGACCGCATTGAGGCTGAGGACTGTGTGATAGTGCTTCTTCAACGCTTCCTTAAGTAGTTCATTGGACATGCGAGCGAAATTTAAGATAAAAGCTTAGAATATTTTTTGTTTTAAACTGTTGAACCTACTCTCAGCAATATCTGGTCTTTGCTTGCACCCAAATTATTTAACTTCAGTTCACAGCTGTCAGATCTACGACAGACATGCTTTTCGATAACAATAATTTTAGCGTTGTCGATCAACGTTTGCACGTCTGTTTTTAGAAAAGTGCTTTTTCTTGCTTAGCATATGAAATCGAAACGCGAAATTAACGTCGTCGAAAACTAGCTTACCCAAGAGCAAGTTGTTGTTTTGCTCCAAGTACTTGAACGTCAACCTGCCATAGCTGACGTGGTTCAGGTTCTTCAGCCATTCGAAGTAGGACACCGTCACACCTCCAGCGTTGATGAATAAGTCAGGGATGATCAGCACGTTCTTTTCGCGTAGAATTTTGTCTGCACCCGGGGTCAGTGGTCCGTTGGCCGCTTCGACGACCAACTAAACTCCTTTCCTATTAATTTGCAAGACGCACGAAACAGTCGTCGTCGCCCGTACCTTTGCCTTGATGTGCGGCGCATTGTCGTTGCGAATTGTCTTTTCCATTGCTGCCGGGATCAGGATATCGCACTGCTCGAAAATTAGGTCATCTTTTGGCGTGTATGACTTCGCCTTCGGATACCCGTTAATCGTTCCAGTTTTCTGCAAGGGATCATATCAGGCTAACTGTTCATTGCTAGCTACTTAATTAGTTACATGATTTGAATAAAGCTAAATAATGCTTTCTGTAACTGCTTGTACTGTTTTTTTGATATGTACGTTAATATCAGCTAGATTTTTCTTTTTTGGTTCATATTTAAAGATTATCATATCTATTCAGTTCCTGGAATATTAACAATTCTGATTCACAGCCTTTTCATTCGCGCATTTTCATAGGTTCCGTGGTTTTACAGATTTTTGCGTAAGTCAATATTTCGCGACTTTTCATTGCCTGCTGTGCATCGATTCATTTAGCCTATTTTGCATTAAAATTAACTGACAAAAAGCAAGACTGTCACGACCATTAGAAATATGCAACAGGTGCCGA